ATCCCACAGGCTTGCACTTGATCGTTACGTTGCTAAGCGACTGCTGGGTTCACAGACCAAGTGAGCACTCCTCCCTTAACCCGATGAAAACCCTGGCATTAGTCTTCTCCCCATTTCTTTTATAAGCTCCATGTAAAAGTCAGTGGCCTCTCAAGTGAATTTATAGCACTGCTGTATTTATAGCACCACAGTTGATACTGCCGTTACGCCTCACGTCCCCCCGGCTCCGCGCACTGACAGCAGAGGATCACCTGCGGGGCTCCCCCAGGCTGGGTTTTCCCATCTCTGTACCTGCATGTATCCAAATTCGGAAATGGGAATCGCGACCAAAGCTCATCATCAGGGCTTTAGCGCTGGGTACTTGGGTCAGATGGAGCCCCACATCCAAACACCCTCAAGCTTCACTGTAAGGAAGGATGGGCAAAAATGGAGGAATGTCAGATGTTGTGGGCTGACTACGTGGATAGACCAGATAAAAACTTCTATCACCAGGGCCTGATCTCCAAAATTTCATAAAGTAAATGATGGCCAAAATTGGGAGTAAGATTAGCTTTGGTCTGGAACCTTCTGATCAAACCTTTTAATTACGCTTTTATTAGTACAAAGTAAGCAAGCAAGCACATCCTTTCGCTTCTTCCTCTTTTTCCTTCCCCTACCAGACTCCTTTTTCCTACCCCATGGCTGGTCACTGCCGCTGCGAAGCAGATGGTTTCCAGTCAAACATTTCCATGCTCTATTTAAAAAGCTTGAAACTCCGTGTCTTATAAGAATCACGGAAGACTATAAATACACCATGTAAAATTACTGCTAAACCAATGTGCAGAGAAAAAAAAGCAAGTCTAGGGCCGTTTTTTAATGTAGTAATTGAGAGAGAAATGCTGCTCAGTGCTGTAGAACAATCGCTTCCTAATCCTCATTTATCAAAACCACAAGAGAAGATATTTTTATGGATTTCTGTAGCAAGCCATTACCCAACTATCTACAACTTAATTCACCTCTATGCTCCCCTAATGGGGCAATTGCCATGAGTGAACTACAACTGCATATCTACTGGCTGTGCGAAAGGAACTCCTAGTGATATTTCGAGTTGCTATCTGGGCTATAACTTCATACGTGTCCCAGCGAGCACATTGTTATAAATATTTTTAATTTATAAATATCTTAAATTTCATCAGCCTGCTAGTGCTGTGAACATAACCCAAGTGAGCCTGTGAACAATGTTCCTATTTATAACACTTCCCAATACTCCTCGTTGGCTGACGGATATGAACAGGCATTCTAATTTTTTATCACTTTTCCTTCAGCAGAGCTAACGAGTTGTTAATTTAGCAGAAACCCTGCCTTCTGTGAGCTAAAATTCCTTACTCCCTTTCTAATGCCACCTCGCAGAAAAGGGCTACAAGCTCTACAACTGGTTGTCCTAGGCTTTAGAGTCTTAGAAAAAAATCAAGAAGCCCTAAGAATTTTAGCTTTAAAATTTAAATATTAGCTTTAATACTTGGAATTGTGTCAAGGTGGTATTCCTCGGTCATAATATTTGACAGCTTTGTGAAAAATGGTGTCAGTCGTGCAATTGGGCTAGAAAGGCTGTAATTTATTTAACTTCTTAAAAGATAAGGCAGGAGTAAAAGCATAAAAAAAAAAAAAGCCTTTGTCTGGGAAGCATTTACCATGCATTCCTTGCTTTTATGCACCTCTGAGAACAGAACTGAAATTTAATGCAGACGGTTCAGGGCATAAACATGCGTAGCACAACAAAAAGAAACCGGAGCATTTTCTCCACTGTGATAAATTTTGCTATTAGCTTTTTGCTCCCTCTTTCACACTCTTTATCAAGCTCAGAAATCAATCCTTTCTCATCCATGGAGCTGGTTAAGCTGAGAGAAAGGGGAAGGTGCAGCCTCGCTCCAGGGACAGGTGGGAACCAGGCACAGGCGCAGCCAGGCAGACACCACCTAACCCCCGCCGGCCGGTTTCCCCGCAGGACTTCTGAACCTACAAGGGAACTTCTCGGTGTACATCTCTCTACCTCACTCTTGTTAAGATGAAAGGGAATTAATTGCCTGAAGCACCTTTTAAAACTGAGGGGAGACCTTATCGCCCTCTGCAACTGCCTGACAGGAGGTTGTAGCGAGGTGGGGGTTGGTCTGTTCTCCCAGGTAATGGGTGATAGGACAAGGGGGAATGGCCTCAAGTTACGCCAGGGCAGGATTAGGTTGGACATTGGGAAAAATTTATTCCCCAAAAGGGTTGTCAAGCATTGGAACGGGCTGCCCAGGGAACTGGCTGAGTCCCCATCCCTGGGGGTATTTAAAAGCCAGGCAGACGAGGTGCTGAGGGACAGGGTTTAGTTGGTGGGATGGCAGGGTTAGGGTAACGGTTGGGCTTGATGATCTTAAAAGCCTTTTCCAACCTAAACGATTCTATGATTCTAAAACATATTTTTAATATCTGTAGATACTTGGATCTCTTCTGCCGTCTCTGATCTATTACTAAGCTTAAAAAAGAAATCCTGATTAACCTTTTCTGGTCTTTTTTACTACCTTCAATTCACCTAATTTTCTGGAGCTCCATTAAAAAAAAATGTAATCCCATCAGTTTTGAAAACAGAAGGAAACTAAATACAGCCCTCTTACCTTCCACTGCCACTGGGAATTTTGCGGAGGTGTAATTTTCTTCCCTAGTCAAATGACAGCCAAGAGTTTTGCTGCTCTATGCCACTGTCAACTTTTCTTATTTGTTATATATATTATAGGTCTTTTGGTATTGTTGTATCCTGAGATCTTCCCTCCAGTTTGCAAAGACTCCCATTTGGGTTTACATTTCAGGAAAGAAGTAGGATTTCAGCCACACTGAAATAATGCTTTGTATGGTTTTGTTTCCAAACTGAGTCTCTGTATTCCATATAGAAGTCCATGTAATTTGCCAAAGCTGAGTTAAAAGAATTAGAAAAGCTAAAGGACAGAAAAGCAACATAACTTTCTAACACTGTCCAAGTCAGATCTTTCTCTAAAATGTAATATATATGGGACTATGCTTGTTAAATGATAGTTTGCTTTTCTCCAATGAAGTGATATAGTAGTTTAAAATTTTTTTTCCAGCCTTTACACCTGTTTAAATGTCTTTTCACAAAAACAGATGTATCTCTGTATGCTTCCAGTTTTCACTTTCTTCTCAGTAGATACTTTGATGTATTTACAGCACATTGTACTTGCTAGCCTACTTTAATTTCTAATAAAATAGGGACACTAAAGATATCTACTGTAACCTGGAAATAACTATCAGTTTAAACATAAAAGATGATAAATAATATTTTACATATGAAGCTAGCGTCAATGTGTTCATATGGCTTAATAAGAAAGCTGATCAAGGTCTAGCAAAAATAGTAGTCTTGAAGACATATGAAAAATAATATGAAATGAAACTGTCAGAGTCATCTGCAAGACAAGACTCATGTAAATTCAAGCTTAGTGAACCAGTACTGATTTTATGCTTGCCCGAGGTATTCTCAAATGTAGAGTGTTCAGTTGCTGTGCTAACTTGGTTTAAAGACAGGCAGCCAGTACATATTGGTTTTCTTGTACAGTTTTCATTGTATTTTTTTGCACGTATTAAGGTTTTTCCTGTATGGACAACTCAATTTCTACTCTGTTTAGTCAAGTGCCACTGACAGGAATTCCATAATTTCAGTGTTTTTCTTCCATCTCTTCATTCTAAACATTGTATAACCTCCATACTTCCCTGTCATGTTTGATGACTTCCATCTTGCAGGAAATAACAGAACTACCTGATGTCAAGGCTCGATCACGCTGTTTTCTGAATGAGCAATCGTTTGCGATTAACCGAGCCACCCTTCCCATAAAACCAAATCCTCCTCATGCATGCAAAGAGCAGTACCTTTTTCAAAGGCCAAGTTATTTATTACCCAGCAGAATAATTTTAATAAAATTTACTTAGATGGTATCTTTTTCTAAAAACCAAGTCAGCACTGCATTGCTGCAAAAAATGCATTTCTATGGAGCAGTCTGGGCCAAACGATACGCAATACTTCAGTAAAAGGTACATTTAACTGCTGCACGTAAGCCCAAACCATTCCATACCACAAAAAGAAATACCTCAGGCTCTCAATAAAGCTAACAAAATTACCTTTTTTTCTTTTTTTTATTTTATAAGCCCGGATTTGATGATACTATATCCATATTCCACGCAAATGTGGCTACACAATTACTTGTACGTTTACCCAATGATGTCTGACTACAGTAAGTTACTTATCACTTAAGTACCTTTCAGAAACCACTTATATGCAAATGTATTGCACTGCAGTACCAGGGCTGCTGCTGTTGGGAGAAAGAAGCCACCTCCTTGAACCTGTAAACATCAGAGACTGTTCACTAACAAGCATGTGCAATAGAAGGTAAGAACTTAAACCCCATAATACTAATAGGCGGAGATGCTACATTAACTTTTTAGTAATAACATGAATAGTGCAAAGTGATTTCAGTGAGTGATTTTCTAAGATAGCATTATACTTCATGATAAGGTGGATTATCAGAGGTGTCGGCATGAATCAAATGACATCACACAGCGAATGTGAAGTAAGCCTAGGCAAAACCACTTTTTTACCTGTTTGAAGCCAAAATGAGTTATGGGACTGAACAAAAAGTAAATTATCCCCACATTTTAAAAGAAAAAAAATTTAAGATAAAAGTCCTACTTAAACATAAATCTAAGTAGCTCACAACAGAACAATTGGAAGGTTTGTGGAAAGTATCTTTGAAGTCGGAGGAGACTGAAAAAGCTCCTATCCTATGGCGTAGCCTACAGAAATGTTGACAATGTAGGAAATTGTTCCCCTCTATACAACTGTCACAGACTATTCATTGAGCAAATGTATACAATAGAGAGTACATTCTTCTTTATGTGATTTATGGGGGAAGTTAGCGAAAGGATGCAAATACCTCAAGCCTTTGTTAGAAAATTATTTGCTTAATTACATTTACCTTGTACTGAGACTTGCAGTTTTTGTTCCAGTAGGTGACTCCAATCCTTCCCCTGGCTTTGAGGATTTCTCTCTGTTCATTTGCTGGAGTATTGAGTTCAATTCACTAATAACATTAGCCTTTGGGCCTGAGAGAATTGGGCTTTTCACCTCCGTCACGTCACCCCATAGCTTAGATGTCCTTTGGGGAACAACTTTAGCCATATTGGGCTGCGCACTGATCGGAGGTGGGGGCGGAGCGGGAGGAGGAATAACAAAGCTGTCTACAGTTTCTTCAATTAGCGCGTCCTTGTAAAGTGCATTGCTTTTGTTGATTATGGGCTTCATTTTTGGCTTAGGAGGTACTGGGGGTTTGTCCACCAGAAATGTTTGCCCATCTGCATAGACTGTACAAGTATCCACGTTCTCACCCCCTTCTGAGGATAAGGTAGAGATGCTGGACACCGTTGAGATAGTGCTGGTTGTCTCTAAGTGATGGTCACTACTACTTCGACTGTCTACCTCCTCAATCCCAGAGTCAGTGACGTTATCAAAGCTGTCAGGGGGTGGCAGAAAGGAGGCAGGCAAACAGTTTGAAAGACCCACTTGCTTTTTACTCTCTAAGGAATTTGTTGGCTGGCTGGGGGCAAATGGTGTGGGTGAAGGCGTGCCATTTTTTCTTTGCTTAACCAAGTCTGTTAGAGCCGAACCGGGAGCTGCACGGTCGTCAGGGATATCAAAGCTGTTGGCGAACTCTAAGGGGGGTGGCAGTGGCTCAGTAAAAATAAACTCTTCATCGATATCAACCGATGCTAAGGGTGGCGGAGGGATGCGGAACGGCAAGATGACAGGGTCGTCAACAGAGCTTGCAGCTACGATGGTTTTGCAGGGAGATGCCGGTGGCTCCGGCGCAGCAGGCACGTTCAGCTCACTTTCCGCTTCCTCGCCCCCCTCCGGCCTCTCTGGTGGGGAGTTCTCAGGGTTCGGTTCCACTTCAGCTCTCTTTTCCTCTTCATCTTCGGGCGTATCCTCTGACTTTGCTGTGTCTACGGTATGAACCATTAACAAGCCAGCTGACTTTTGCTGCGAAGTATCCACAATGTTTATCAACATGTTTTTCTTCTCCTCAGCTTTCTTTTCTTTCCCTGCATCCGCTTCGTACTTGTTCTCGGTCTCCTGCCGTCTCAATGGGCCACGAGTGTTTTGCCTAGTGACAGTAGCAGTAACAGGAAAAGTAGTTTCAATATTGGGTCTCAGCTTTGTATCGATGTAAAGTGGTTTATTAAGGTCAGCTTTAACAGCATCTCCTTTGCCTGGAATCTGCTGTGTTTGTTCTTTCATGGCTCTGTCCCTGGCAGAGAGAGCGAGGGCTAGTGGTGAGTTTGGATCTAATAGCTTTCCTGTGACCGGGTGAACGTAATTATCTGAGCTGGATGCATTCGTGGGCTTAGCTGCCACTGTACTGTTTTCAGTACCTTTCGTTTTGGCCGAAGCGTTTAATGTCCTTGAATCACTTTGATTGCTGGGTTCACTGCTATTAAAAAGATTTTCAGGCTCTCTAGGTGCGGGAATTGGAGATGGCGACATAAGCTGTCTAAAACCATCTTCACTACTAAACATTGCTTCATCGGTAAATTTAGATTGCCTCATACGTGGTGTTGGTGGTGTTAGGCCAACATCCTCATCTCCTAGGTCTGTGGAAAGGAAGGCTGGAGAATTGCGCCTTGCTTCCAGCCTCTTTTCCCTGTCCCTCACTGCTCCAGCAATGGCTGCTGCAAACGGACTGCTGACACCTAAGCTGTCATCGGGTCGGAGCTGCCCAGGTTGCTCTGAAGACTGAGGATCGATTTCCATGCTGCTCCCTTGGCTGCTTTTCCCACTGCTGCTGGTGGATGGCTCTTTCACAATAATCGTCGGGATTGGAATAGAGCAGGTCTTTTCTGGACTGTCTTCAACATTGGATTGTTTCACCAGCATCCCCTTCCTCCTTGCTGGTTTGGCCGGCACATAAACTGCTTTGCTTGCAATCTTCCCAACCTCAGAATACGGGTTTTCTGGCATCTGACCCCTCTTGTTCCTGAAATTTGCCTGAGATGCGGCACTCCGACTGTACAGGTCTTCAGAGTCCAGAGAGTATCGGTCCAGCTCTCGTCTGTAATAGATCCCTTTGTCCCTTATCATTGTTCCTACATTCTCAGGCCTAACCAAAGAAATTTTTGAACCTGAATTCTGATTAAACGGAGGTTTAATAGTTCCATAGCTCCTTGACGTCGGGGATTTGGGAGAGTTGTACAGAGAGGGAGAAGGTGGTGGTGGTGAAGGAGGTAAGGACTGTGGTGGTGGTGGTATATCTTCAGAGGTGTCAGGCATTGAAAGACTTCTGGTAAACTTCAGCATAGGAGGAGCCAAAAACTGCCGTTCTTCCTCTGTAATTCCTAAAAATCAGAAAATATATTTAATACACTCTCTTCTGCTGGGATCCCTCATATTGTATTATTTCTGTGTTCAGCCTCAAATGCCAGGGTGCATTTCACATGCCACGAGGCATATGCAAAATTATGAGAGAGGTCTTTTGGTTGATTCCTACCATAAGCATTCTCTCTTGTTAAACTTCCAGAGACCCAGATGCCAGAATTGAAAAGGATGCTACAGAATTTTAATTAAACTGATCACTGATGTGTAGGCAAATGTTTTGGTTTTATGTATCATCAAGGTAGCTGTAGAGAAGCACATTTTCTTTGAAAATTATTGAACAGGGAAGACATTCTGTGCCGAAGAGTAGTTTATGCCTTACTCTAGCACTCTATAAATGGATATAATAGTGCAACATAGAAACCTAATGAATTTTTAAGATGCATTTGAAACTTAGCAAAGGGACTGCAAAGATTCTATTGGGGAAAAAAAATCATAATGTTTCAATTCAAAAGATCACATTATATTATTACAAATACGGCTTTTAACATAAATAAATGGGATAATATTGGGATAATTTAGATGCTAATTTTACACCAGCATAATGCATTTCTAAATTGATAAATATCACTACTAAGATTACTACCAAGAACAAAGCAAGCCCAAATTTGGTCTGCTCTTTTCCTCTCATTTCTAAAATCATCTATTGTCATGGTTTGGAATGAAAAAGAGGTGAATTTTATTTCATTTGATCAATAGGGATTCCTTTGTAAACTACACAGCATTACAATGCTTTTCCTTCAATAACAAAGAAAAAAGGAGTAACATTTTGCCCTCGGTAATGCATTGCAAAGGGCTGTACTGATCTTTTTTTCTCCCTTCTTACTGCCTTTCCTTGTTAGAGGGAGCATTCTAAAGAAAGGAATTAAATTATAATTCCATAATACTTGCCTACTATTATCAAAGCAGAATGTGGAAATTACATCATCTTACACACAAACCTCTTTTCTCAGGAACTTCATATAAAAATTAAACAGACATTCACTTGAGGTAAAGATGTTGGAGTCATATGCTTTAAGAAAGAAGCAAAATTACTAGAAGTATGTGATTAATGCACAAGCAAACTATACATGAGAAGCATTTTTACCTATAGATTTTTGTCTTCTCATTGTACCCCGAGGTATACCCAGAAAAGGACCTTGAGGACTCCCTGGTACAGTGGGCGTCATCACAGCAATACCCTGTCTCTCATACATGGACTACAAAAAAGCAAACAAAAAACCCCACAAGCATTAAAGCATGCAAGACTTTCTCTCACAGGTAAATAACTCTTCTGTCATATCTGCTAATCCACTATCTCTTTTACTTATAATTCTTACAGAAAATAACAAGTTTGCTATTATTTGGGGGAGCAGGTGAGGAGAAAGGGAAGGCTAGGCTTTATTTACATGCTATTAAAATGACAACCGCTGTAAGAGGAGTTAGTTGGAATTATTCACATGGAAGTAGGTTCAGTTTCCAGCATGTTTTGTGTGCTGTAAGAAAAACGAAGCGTGAGCAATTAGATGTTGTTTCATTCATTCCCTAAAAATGTAGCGTGCACGGCATAGGTGTTAATGCTCACGCTGCACCAAGCTGTACGTTCTCTTCACTTCTGAAGACCCGACCTGCTCTTGCACAGATTCAGGGTGTCTTGCGCAAGGTTGCGCTGGCAGTCGGCAGCTCAGCTAGGAACCAAGGAACACCACCCGAATCCCAAGGCACTCAACTGTCCCTCCTTGTAGGGCATCGCAACACTATTTGTTTTCTGCCTCTTAGAATAACCTTAATTTCCTTCCATCCCAAGTTGCTGAGAGCAGCAAAGTGCTTGTTGTATCAGGACTGATGCTCATTTGGAGGAGTGGGTAATGGAAAAATACATCCAAAATGCAATAAAAACAATATATATATATTTTTTTTTTCACATGTGAAGTTCTGTAAGAGCAAATTCTGCAACTGAGTAATCCAATTTCAGAGTTCTGGAGTTTAAATTTTTAATACGTGTTACAGTATTAATGTCAATTCTTCCCTTACACATCACCATGCATTATTTAATCAAGATATTATATATGCTATTAGGAATAATAAAAAACTCCAGTAGGAGAAACCTCCACGTTAGTGGAAATTGTGTGGCTGCACTAACTCTGGTGCTGAAACGGAGACAGCAAACCTTGACTTTCAGCAAAGTTTTTTAGCTTGGGTTTGGTGTTGTACTGACACCTTCAAGCTGAGAACTTGCTGGGGTCTCACCAGCTCAGATTACACGCAGAGCACGTTCACATCTGTTTGAATAACACTGAGGCAGCAATGCTGTTGATGTGACGGTCTCAAAATAAATACAAGGATATAACGAGAAAAGTTTTACAGGGGTAGGTAGACTCTTCTGTTAAAAAACTATTATTAGAAATAGAGTTGACCATGCCTTAACATTATGAGACAATAAAAGTAAAGTGAGTATATAAAGCAACGCTTGTAAATCGGTTTCTGTTGTATGCCCTGTGCACTGCCAAAAGCCCCCCTGCAATCTGTTTCAGAAGTGAAAGCAGTACTTCATAGCAACCACTCACATTCATATCTGTAGCTGAGGGAAAACATCTACTAGAAGGCCGCTGTTTAATAGTTGCCACTCTTGAGTCCACAGTTGCATTGTCTGCAATTCTTGATGGCTTGGAAACTGGTACTATTTCATCCACCTTATCTGTAATATAAAAGTATTCAGTAAAATAAATATCATTTGTCCAACAACTGAAAATTTAAGTATTGCAAGGTCAAAGGAAGAGATTTACTTTTCAAAAAAATGCAAAGAAAAAGTTTTTTTGGCATTTTAACAAGGCAGCGCTTGAGCATCATAAGTCGTGCAAGCCGAGCACTTTTTATTGCTGCTACATAACATGCATGCTTTAGTTTTAAGCCTGCATGCATTTAATGTTTACTTAGTGTGACTCGAAAAACAATCCTCTTCTTCAAACCTTCAAAATGTGAAGGGAGAATATCTATATAGAAATGGAAAGAAGACCTTTAGAAATAATGAATCCGTACAGCACTGTTTCAAATAGAGATAAGCAGACTGTACTTAGTCATCAGAATTTCAGTGATATTTTGGACAATAACAAGTACTTCAGAAGTGCTCTTTTATGCCTAGTCTCTTTAAGTAATCACATCCTAATTTATTCACACTCTCGGATTATTAGATTAGCATTAGGAACTGCAGCATTTGTTGAAATGAAACTTTTATAGGTATTTTATATTTTAAGAACTGCACAGTCTGGGAATGTATTTAGTTGTGGTCAGAAAGAGACCAAACGGGCGAAGTCCAAATCTGAACGAGAACTTCAACATTTGGATTTGGGATTCTGATCTGTCACATGATGTGATCGTAAAATACAGGGAAAACTTCAATCAAGATCTTCCAAAGTTTTGAGTGTCAGTTTTAGCCCCGTCACAAACAGGATTCATCAGTATTTAATGTATAACATTACTCCCTCAGACTGAAGACCTCAAAGTACCATATAATCAACTAATTATACCCTGGTAGCTCCTTTATTGCCACTTCTACTGCTATGAAACTAAGGCACGGAGAAATTAAATCACTAGCCTAAGCCAGCGGAATAGCTTGGCTTTTGAAGCCGTCCTAGAATCCAAACTTGAATCACACCAACGGGTTTCCTTACTACACCTTCCACTGCATTTGCTTCCCTAAGAAAGCACAGACTGCACTGTATCATGTTATTTTTGTGTCTTTTCCTTTGAAGTTTCCCCAAAGTAAGGGTTAGTTATATAGCCCGTGGCATTTATGCGAGTGAAATACCTTAGCCTGGCTCCTAGGCTTCTGCAATGTGTGCCAGAGCAACGTTACTTTTCAGCAATTGGATCCATCTCCCAAATGATTGATTATTCGCTTCAGCAAACAAGGATAGCTACTTCATTAGGATACTATAGACTTAAAAAAGCAGGGTTTTGGCAGTCTAGAGATGGTATTACTATGGCAAGTATCAGATTTAGGGATTTAAGTTTTACCTCTCACTGGAGAGCCGCACACTCAGGGCCCTGGATATGGATATGGATGGGAATAAGGCAGGAGGAAAAGAGCTTTTTGATCCCTCTAAACAGTAGATCTGGCTGATGCAAGGATGAGATTTTTAAATGGGAGAAGAAGAGAGGGAAGAACTTTTAGCCTTCTGGTTAGGAAGAAGGTTGTCCTAGAAGTGGATATTTCAGTGTCACAGAGGGTAGGGAGCAGGCAGGAAAGGAAAGGTTGAGCAGGATCAGTAAGCTGAACACTGTTGAAAACTGTCTCACAAGAGTAGTGTTGCTGTTTCTTTTCAATTGAAGTTAGCATTCAATTCTTTTCATTGGTCTGCTTTATTTTTGTGTGTTTTAAATCATCCAGTGGAAGGAGAAAAGGAAAAAAAAATTCTTAAAATCATCACATGTATTCAAAAATAAAACAAACTTCAAGTCACATTTCATAAGACTTTGTATTACAACCTGTGAACTTCTGAAAGAAAAATATCTGCACTTCTGCTCAGCAAAAGGCATCAGAAAGCAATGGTGTAACCATGAACATTTGACCTATACAGCAAAAATACAGCTAGACTGTAGAATCATACTCAGGGGATCTAGCACCAAGAGCTTCAACTGGGCAGAGAGTTCCTATGTTAAGTCTCTCCCACCCTTTTTGTCATCCCAGAAGCCAAACAACTGGTCTTGGGATACAGCAAGAAGGAAGCTTTAGAAACTGAAGCACTAGGTACTCAAAATCTGTAAATAAGAAATATAAATATACCATGTAAGATCTGATCCCCTTTATTTTTAACAGACACATGTAACCATATACCCATTCAGACAACAAAAAGCTACAGGGAAAGA